ATCACTCCTTTTCGTATTGTTCTCTGAGCGCACGGGGCCAATACCCCCTCATTAATAAACCTCGGTGATTCATTTTCGAGCCTCCCTCCTGTGTCTCTTCCCTTGTTGTCTGTTAAAGAGGTGCCCTCCTAATTAGCGGACACTGATGGAGCATCTAATGACCGGGGGAAAAAGCAACGCTCCCACCATGAATTCATACTTCAAGTTTTCATTTATGGGTCTTCCAGATCATGGACATAGTCATTTATAAGCATTCAACTGGGAAAAGAAACATTTACTTCAAATGATCAATTCACACAGATGAGCCAATGTCAAACATTTAGCATCAATTAAGAGCTTTCTTGTGAAATTGTGCAAATACTCTTAACTCTAAATGAGAGTTTAGATTAAGGCATTCATTATTATCAGTGATATTCGAATGACTCATCTCAAACAAAGGTCTTAATATTTAGAATTCAGGTATATTTCTCATCCAGAATCATCTTTAACTAGACCAATTTGACACCCCAATTCTTTTCCTTTTTGTAGACATTCTGTTGTGGATTCAATATCCTGTTGTAAGATGGATTCAGGGATGAAGAGAGGTCCACTCCAATGAAAACAGACAACTGTAAAGAATGCTTTCCACTTGTGAATCATTTTGTTGTCTGCAGAATTTGGAAATGGCCTCATAACCCTTCACAAAGTGATGGGCCGCAACAATTGCTTCTCCAGGATTATTGGTTATGTCCTTCTTCCATTGTGTTGACTCACACCTAATCGATACACAGACAACAGATTTTTTATTTTTTTTGCTCACATTTGATGCCAATAAATGAACTGATTGCATAGCAATTACTTTCTTAATTCTGATGGAAGCAGTTCTGGTGGATATCAATTTTAATGGCATTTCTGATTTTCTTTTTGTTAAATCTTAATATAACAATAACATGTTTGTAATTTTGCCATCAGACGGCAATCCGAGATAGTATTGATCAGATTTTGAGACTTGTTAAAAAGAAACATATTCTTCTACTTCTTCTCGTTATTGTTATCATCATCATCACTATTATTATTATTATTATTCCTGCCGTTGTTATTATTATGATCATTATTACTGCAGCACGCTTATTTCTGCTTCCAAAGGGCATAGAGTGTAACAACAAATCACTGCAGTTCTCATCACTCTAATCGAAGGTGCTGTTGTCACTCAGTTGATTTCATGTTAGGGGCTGGGTAGGAAAACAGGATTGCATAGCGGATCGGCCTCTGCTTTTCATTTCCAAATTGCCAGAAGGAACAACTACAGGTTTATTAGGACATTATTTCTCAGCCTTTGGAAATTATCGATCACTGCGCAAACAGTCTGTCCAGCTCGAAGAAGGCAAAATATTCTCTGAACTGAAATGAACATTTTAACGATTGGACATTAACACTTTTGAATTGATTCAGAACAAACTTATAATGAATTGCGGGTCTCCAAGGTTTAGTGGCACCCTAAAAGAATATTAAATACAGGCTTATATTAAGTGATGCCACACACATGCAGTTCATGCTTCTTCTTTTTTTTATCTGAAAAAGATATATTAACTGGAGTTTTATTCACAAAAAAACTGTACCAGGATTGAAATCCCACAGCCTGCGTACTAATCAGTTAGAACCTGAGATCAAAACTAAAGGAAGATCTTCTTTTCATACACAGTGGCTCTGCGGTGCTAATGACGGGTAAAATGCAGAGCCAAGCAAGCATCGCAAAGCTGTGCTTTGATGAATCGGGTGATTATATTCTAAAACACTCCTTGCTCAACAAACTGCTGTGACATAAAGTAATCCTGTTCAAATTTCACAGACTTAAAAGGGCTGCTTACCAGTGATGTGGGAATCCCATCAGCAGCAGCCTTCTGCAGCTCTCTGCTATGGATTATGGGAGGAAGTGCTTTTAGTTTAATCAAGCATTGCTATGATGTTGCTATGTTAAAGTTAATACAGCTCATTTTGTCATTAGATCTCTCTTGATATCTGGAAAGTTGCTTCCCTGAACCTCAATGAATTATTAATAACAGCAGAGCCCAGAGCCTTGTTTTTTTGTTTTTGTTTTTGTTTTGTTTTTACCAAGCATGGCACCTAGTTATTAATCTCTATTATCAATCTCTATAGAGCTTAATATCTGTATAGAGATGAATAACTATGTCATATCTAGTTGCTGTTAGGCTGATTTTCGTACCTATGACAACAAGCACTAGACCTGATTTTTTTATGTAAAATCTCAATTTTGGATGCATTACCTGCAAATAATCTGAGAAAAGTAAGTATAGCATTTTTCTAATGCCAATTAAAAAATCATTCTCAATCCATTAGAAATGTTGATAACTTAACATTAGCTATTTCTGCTCTATTTGAAACTTTTTTCAATAACAAATTGTACATAAAATCTGAAGTAAGTAATTTTAGCTCTCGTTCCATCCTACGAGGTTGATTCTGTAATTACTTTGAGAGAACATTTTCATATGTCAAGTTTCTCTGTTTTTAAATGAGTTTACTTGAGCTCTGTACGTTAAACCCATATCTTCATGAAAAATGTACAAGATAAAAATATGGGAAACTGATTTATCCCTGTACACAGTAGTGAATGGCGTAAAAGATATAAAAGAGTTTAAGATTAGCACTGTTATTTAGAATCTATGAGTAAATATCATGCTGGATATATACATATACTCTAATATTCACCAAATACGAAAATCTTCATATAAATGTCTGGCTTTCGAAAGGGTCCTATTTCTCAATTTATGTCTAGAAGTTTAGAAACAAAATGAAGCATAATTTCCTGGAATAAACATTTTATTAAGTTACAATTTTAGAAAAAAAACACCAATTAAACAATGATTAACATGCACATTTTAGTATACAAGACAATACAGTTTCTTTTCAATATGAAAATTTCATTCTACATGTCAGTATCTCACAGAGATCATTGATTAATACACCAGTATTAAAGCCAGAGAACACACTATTGAAAAGCAGTAAGGTTGTCTTTGATGGCTATGTTCAGAAATTGTATGCAGGCTATTTACAGTGTACCAGTTGCACTAATTTCTAACAGTGGTAACCACAGAGGCTAATCTAACTTAACTGATCTCATGGATATTAAATATGTGTTTGTTCTTTGACCAAAACACTTCAATCAGTCCAGTCAACTCTGATAAACTCGTCAGATTGTACGTTGTAGTATTAGTTAAAGCACAAAGTCAAAAAGTTTTCTTTTTTCTTGCGTGACCACAAGCACAGAGGCATCGGGATCCATTACAACTTCATTTATGCAAAGAATTAAAAAAAAAAAGGAAATATTGCCACACCATTACATAATGTAAATTATTTACCTATTAGCCCATCATCTGGTATTCAGATGACTTCATTTAGAAATATTAACAAAAACCATTACACAACTAGAACCAAGAAAGCAGTTGTGAAGCCTGGCCACACCAGAAAGTAGAACAGTGACCCATATGTGTTCTTGAAAAATAAGTGAAGAGGCAATGTTGACAATCTTCTAACCTGTCAGCTTTTACAAGCATCTGATCTTCAATAAATTCGTCTTTGCATACAGACCCCATTTAACTTTTGGAAGATATCAAATCTCGAAATTAAGCAAATATGGTGCACCAGTTGTACTAGCTAGAATGTTTCTAACAACTATACATGCTAGCAAGTCAAAAAGATGGTAGTACGCTCTCTCTCATGACTACCACTCATAAAGCCACAGTCCTATGAACTTGACTTTTATTTTAGCAGATTTTTAAGAGATTTTCAAGAAGATGAAAAACTAGAACCTTGCATATTTAACAAGTCACTATACTAGCACATCGTTAACTGTTGTGCAGATTGGTATCCGCACAAGCAAAAGGCTATTAAAGATGTTTGTGCATCTTAAATTCTACCTGCTGGACACCACAACCTTTAGATTTCGGGTGAAATAAATTGAGACCAACAGTGATTTAAAAAAAAAATAGTAAGCAACTTTGCTTTCCAACTACAACGACAGCACAAAAGTACACTTCAATCACATGACAATGGAGACGAAAATTTTTTGTTTCATTGTTCAAAGCAAGACTGAATTGTTGTTTGCATTAAATTTCACAGCTCTGGATGCCGGTGTGGCCTGGCCTATGTGCTGTTCATTAGAAGGAAACAGTAGTAGTACTGTAGGACTAAGCTGGAGTGCTAAGCTGTAAAGAATGAACCAGCTGATCTATTGCAGGTCACTGCTTTAATTTAGAATAATAAACCCCTCACTTCAATTATACTTCTCTGAATCTGAAAAGTAAATCTGTGAATACGGTAAAAAAAAAAAAAAAAAAAAGAAAATATACTGTGGAAAAAATTAGAATTTCTGATCAAAACGAAATTTGCAATTACTAAAAAAACTAAAGAAAAGGAAAAAAACAAAACAGGAGCACATTTGAAGTCATGGAAATAGTGGAGGACATCTGAAACATCACAGACAGTAGCACAACAAAGCAAGTGCATAAGACCGTGGCCATCAGTCAGTCAAGCAGCTGAATTGTGACAGCCACAATAATGGGGCAGGAAAATCAATACCCCATTGACTGGTCTGCAGCAGTCTAATCAGCCAGCAATGAGTTTTATGAATCCAGTCAAGAGAGCAGATAGGACAGCCTGATTATGTCGGCTGTTTGGACCTTTTATGAGGCCTCTGGGGTCCCGCACACCTGTTCAGACAGTCGAGTGAGGACTTCCAGTCACCTTGCATCAATTCCTTGTGCTTTCGTTTGACTTGAGAGTGCTGCGTCGAGGGGGAGTAGAGAGTGCAAAAAAAATGCAGACAACAAAAGCCTCTGGCTAACAACCGTACACAACCCCATGTTTGGCAAAGGCACAGTAATGTGTAACAGTTCAGTTGACTGTATCCTTCCACTTAAGCGTTGCCAGGACCCCAGCAATCACACCTCGGCTCTTATTTGGATGACTCATCCACGTGATAAAGAGCCGTGAAAAGTAGCTCCCCAAGCAGAGCAGCAACGCTCTTTTGTTATTGTTCAGTCTGGTATGCGTCCAAAAGACAGTGGTGAGGTGGTGGGGGGTGGGGGGTGGGGGGGGTGAGGGGGTGAATGACAACCATGCCTTGTGCTCCATTTCCAGTCAGGGCTCCTTTCGCCGTGGTATTCTCATCCATTATTCTGATGCCTTAATAGCCCATAAATTATGATACGGATGAAGTCATACATTTATTATGCCACAGATCATGAAGACTGGGACCCAAATTTCCATCATCTATCGCTATCCATCACAGCTTTCCCCAAAGCTGTCAGCTCTTCTGTGATCCCACACCGCGATGAAAATTTAATCAACACACCATTTCCAATTAAGGTTTGGTCCTACATTCGGAGTGTCCTCTCCTTTTAAACTAATACTATACGGGAAAGACAAGCAAAGCAAACAATTCCTCTGCTGCAACCGATCTTCCTCATAGCTATTTAAAAAGGAAAAAAATACAAATAAAAACAGTTGAGCTCTGGTGAAGGCACTGTATTCCTGTAGTCCATTGTGCACTGTGACAGCTGTTCATTGAGGGTGTGGACGTCACACGTTCTGTAATACGATTTAGAACACTGGTCATTTTTATTAGGAGACAGAACAGTGTGTGTGTGGTGTTGGCTCAACGTTGCCTCAGCACACATCTATTCTCCTCAATCACAACTTTTTCACGAGAACGAGGATGCAGAGTGTGATAGGCATTTATTATTCAAGAGGAGCACGAGATAGGGAGCAAAATGCCAAGATCTATCAGTGTTGTGGAGGGGCCTAATGCTCAGGAGCATGAGGTTCTTGAGCAGACAATATCCTTTCAGGACATGGAGATAAGTGGGTTTCAGGCACAGCTGATCAATTATGCATCAACCATATATTGGACAAAGCCTGGTAAAAAAAAATCTTACCACTGCACTGGATGTTTCTACTGCACAGTAAAATTATTTTTATGGGCTAATATCTTTAGGGTACGAGGGTAGTTAGAGAACAACTGAGCTAAAAACATAGAAAACTAAACCAATGATTATATTTGAATCCCTCTGCCTACGAAGTTGTGAAGATGAATGTGTTTTGACCCCAAAAAAATCAAATAAAAATGAACATTGAGTTACAGCAAGCAGCCTCAGTCACCTCCTTTGGTTTGGACTGTTTTAGATAAGTAGGTTTTAAGGCAACAGTATTTCCAAAGATACTAAAGAAGAAAAAGTCATGGAGACATCAGAACTTCTAAAAATGAAAATTAGAGCACGGTGGCACTTTCTAACGCTGGGAGGACTACCAAGACAACACGGATGTCATTGGTCTCTTCTCCATCTGATGGTCTGTTAAAAAAAGCGGCACGGTCCCTTAAGGAGTCTGATACAGCCCTACTATCCTTCCCCCTCTTTGACTGAAACCGCCGGTCTGTTGGAGAGTCAACACAGAGCGGGCTAAATTAAGGGGGTAGAGGAGGTTTAGGGCTCAACGGGGTATGGACTGCCCGTCCACATCACCAGACTGAGGAAAATAGTGCGCAGATGAAGACAGCCGAGCGGGAAAACCAGCAGAGGCGGCATGCTCCGGAGCCCCGAGCGCCCATGCCTGCAAGCAAAACCAGAGGAACAGCTTGTGAGAAACCAGAAATATTCCTTCTGTTCTATCTAAAAAAAAAAAAAAAAGGAAAAGTCAATATATATAAAAACCTGCGTTTGATTTTTTTTCTTCTATATCTACACCATTACTGCTGTTCAAAAGACAGGATAGGCTTAATAGCTGGGGATACTTATTAAAGTATCCCGAGTTATTAAGCCTAAGATAAAGTCGGTATCGCATCAAAGAGGAGAGCAGCAAAAGGCGCAGCCTCACAATTGCGCTCTGCGGTGAGACGGGAGCACAGAACTGCTTTATATGCTGGGGCCCTGTGCAGCCAGTCAACAAGGAATAATAACCCAATGGCAGAGATGGATGACACCGCGCACGCATTTTTAAAAAGGTCGCTTTCCTCGCCCTTAAAATAAGTCGGTTACACATTAGAAAGAGGATGCAAGCCAAACCAAATTAAACGTTTCCCCTCTCGATGATCAATTCCGTGTTCAAAGCTTATCAAGGGTCATAAGGACAGTGATAGGAAGAGGAGAAAAAAAGAGGGAGGGAACTCACTTAATTTGTGGATGTGGATGGGTTCGCTGCCCACTCCTTCACCGCCCTCGCTCATAGCCTTGACCTGAATGAGATAGTTGTCGTTGGCTGAGAGGCTGAGCTCAGCTGTGGTTTTGTTGGTGAAGATGGTGTGTATTTCATTGTAGCGATGCTTTTTCAGCGTCACCTGAGGCAAGGGGGCAGTTTATGCAGAAAAATAAGCTACGGCAACGAGATTAATAAGAGGATAAACCCCAGCTTTTGGAAAGAGAGGACACCTACCAAATAACCAGTCACCTTTGACTCCGTATCCATGGCTACTACAGGATCCCAATGCAGTGTGAGCGTGGAACCAATCATGGTCCATTGTATGTTGAGCGGGGGCCGATCTGGGGCTAGAAATCAGAGGTAAACACATACATGTTATTGTGGTGTGGTGGTCGCTGGTTTGTCATGAAACTCGTACAGAACGCTTTAGATACCGGGGATTTATTATCTCTTTGAAACCGAGAAAGCAAATGAAGCTTAAAGAAAATATAGAGATAAAGAAAAAAAACAAGTAAGTAAGTTTCAAGCATCAGGATATTTTAAATGAATCAATCCACTGTGTCTAACCAGGCATTAAATGAAGAGAAACAGGACTTAACATTTTCTAATAAAACTTAATATGTCACCAGATGACATGAAAAATTAAAGAAGCAGATGTGGGAAGTACTATATGGTCATGAACACTTTATAAACCTTGCTCATACCGACTATTAAGCATGGTAATGGAGGGGAAGCAGGGGTAGGACCTTTGTGAAATTAAGCAACTTTACCCAGGTTATATCCTGTGTATCTATCCATCTGAGGTTGCATTAATCTTGTTTAATAACCTCCCGAAGACCAGATGATATTTTGATTGTGTCCCGGTACATAAAACCGGAAAAAGACAGCTTTTCTATAAAGTTTAAAGTTTGTACATAAAGTTTACACTATTTTCATTCCCTGAGGAAACAATCTGTGTTTAGTGCACCCACCAAGATGGAGAATATGTATAGTTGAAAACTGCTTCAGTTTAACACAACCCCTCCCTTCTGTTGGAGTGCGTGTGTGTGTGTGTGTGAAACTATTTCTTCAAACTGAAGGGCACCTTAAAACTTCCCAGATCCACTGGAGGTGTATGGCGGTGCACGTCAAAACTCCTAAAAATCTATTGTCAGTCTGACTTTGAGGAGCTAGGATGACACAGCAGAAAAAGAGAGCTACAGCTACGTCGTGGCCCCCTCCGGGGGGACGGACTCACGTGGTTTCTTTGTGGTGTTGTTGATGGGGGCTGACTGCGGTCCGGGGCCGGCAGTGTTAAAGGCAGCCACAGAGAGGTAGTACACCGTGTTCGCTCTCAGCCCCGTGATGTTAACCAGGGTGTAGTTTCCCGTGATGCGCACTTTGCCGACGGTGTCGGGCTTGGTGTCGTCTTCCCAGTACACCACCTGGCAGAGAGGGGATCAGCAGGAGTCACAATCATAAAACACAACATGTAATATTCAAATCCATATTTGCGTGTGAAATCTGAAATATCACAGGAGTGGAGTTCGACATGGGGTCCCCCATGTCAATTCGTGAGTTACGTGACAACTTCGGTAAAAGAAAAAAAGCTATTTATGTGGAGCAAAAAGTGATTTTCCAGATTGCTTTGGCAAAGATAATTAAAGTGTTGCCATCTGCTTTTAAATTCCACAACGATTCATAGTTTTCCCAGTATGTTGTCAATTTAATTGAGCCACATGTAATCTTTTGAGAGGATGTTCCATAGAATTGGATCGGACTTGCAATCCTATCAACATCTAATTCATGTACAAGTGCCACACCTATGCAGTCCAAAGCTCTGCTTCCATTCTGTTGGTGGCCCATTGAGATTCAGCAGCCTTAATCCACTCTGAGACCTCAATTGGGGAATTGAGTTCAGTTCTGAAAGGACAGTGTGACCAGTGCTATGGCAACTGGGAAGATTTGTGCCACAAGACCAGAGGTGACAGTTATTGAAAGAGCAGCGTTGGGACAAAAACAAAAGCGAAAAAACAAACAAAAAAAAAAAACAGCAATGCCGTCTTTGCATTTCTGAGAAGATGAGGAATTAGATTTGTCTCCCGTGGGTTTGCCGTAGCTGCTGAAAGGTCACTTCATGATATTATTAAAGTGTAAAACGTGATCTCTGCAGAGACAAGCCAGCTGACATGGTTGAATGTTATATAAGCTAAAAACATAGGGAAACTAATAAAAGAATGACTAAAGGGTGGTTTTGTGTTAAAAAAAAAAAAACAGGGAAAAAAGGGAAATGGTCAGCTATCATTTTATTAGGAGAAAAAAAAAGAAAAAGAAGAAAACAGAATGACATCACTGTGAGTCATACCTCATATCCAAGCACTCTTTCAGGAATGTCAGGGAGAGCTTCCCACATCACTTCAATTTGTGCTGCAGACACGCTTCTGGCCCTGACCCTTTTCGGCGCCACACTGGGGACTGCAGAAAATAGAGAAAGAAATGTGGTGAGGATCCCACACACTCTTCCGACACCATCGCGCGCGCTTATAACAGCGAGCGGTAAAGGTGCAACGTAGACCTGCAGTTTCACTGAGAGGCTATTTCCCCTGTTCTCTTCTAATGGGATCTGTGACTGACATTAGGGAAGACTATCTGCCCGGCAAATTCAATTAACAGGATACCTCCCTGACAGCGCTGTGTGGTGAGAGTCTGCTAGGATTTCCTCTAATCTACCAGCACGATAACTAATATCGAGTTGACATTCCCCGCTTTAAGCGAGGAAGCCCTAAAGAAGAGAAAAAACCCCTCATATCCAAGGTCAGAGTAGGCAGGAGAGAGATTACAGCATATTTCTGCCACTGTGAAGTGCATACCTTCTTCTGCAGAAAAGACAGTGGCGATGGAGCTGAACGGCCCCTCCCCTCGGTTGTTATAGGCTCCCACTTTGACGTCGAAAGGCGAGAACGGTGGGATGGTGTCGTTGCGAAAGGCGTAGCGCGCCACGCCGGGCGTGGAGATGACCGCCCGCGTCCACGTGACCGTGCCCACGGGCCTGAAGGCGATGATGTAGCCGAAACCCTCTCCGTTCTGCACTTCCTCGGGCACAGGCTGGGAGCAAAACACAAAACTATAGTGATATTAAAACGCATACGGACAGAGAGACAGACGGACCCGTCTCTGCCCTGACCGGGGGCTTCTGGGAAGCAGACACATCCTTTCCTTTATCTGCCATAACCGCCCCAAACTGCACAATCACCTTTTTTTTTTTTGCTTATCTTCTCCTCTTGCACGGTTTAGTAATTGTATCTAAAGTGCAAAACCCTTCAAAAGGAAGAGCTTTCTGTCGCTGCTTTGGGAGAAGAAAATGGCACTCGGTGGCTGAGCCAGACGAGGGGTGTCTCCTTCTAATGTAGGTCATAAAAATTGCTCCACTCAATTCTGCACAATTAAGCAAAAGCATGGCTCTGCAACTGAGAGAACAGTAAAAATGTGACAAATGACTTACCTCCCATGTTATCACTAATTCAGACTTTGTGCCGCCTCCACCTCCAACATCAGTGGGAGCCGTATCAGGAACTAAGAGGTAAAAGCCCAGAGGGGGGAGCAATTAGAACTCAGTTTACAAAAGCTCAAGGAAAAGCTTCAATTGTACGTGTAGCCTCATGTCAAGGCTGCCTGCTGCAGATGCTCTCCTGCACCACACACACACACACACACACACACACACTCTGGTCTGCGAACATAAACATTTCAGGGAGCCGCGAATTACTCACATTGTCCAAATGTCACAGTGCATACCCCCGCAAGTCAGGATTTATAATATTTTACAAGTGACATTTGACTCAGCCCACTCTGTTTCTATTCCCATTCAGCTGTTTGTGCACTGCAGCGTGTCGGCGAAAATGAGCACTCAACCACATCCCTATAGTATCTGTTAGTAAGAGGAGCCTCGCTTTCACAACAGGCAGTTTTGTCTCATGCAGGAATGAATAATGAAATGAGATACCAGCTCTTTCCTTGCCAAGATTTATTCCCGTTTACTTCCCTTACCAATCTCCCCTAAAGTAAGCTCATATGAAATAGCTTTTTTAATTTTTAGGGAGAAAATCTACTACTATCTATCTATCTATCTATCTATCTATCTATCTATCTATCTATCTA